ATTATTATTATAAAGTTTGAATTTTTTATTAAGTAATTAATTTTTCTTAAGGGTCAAAACTCGTGTATATTTCTTTTGACTTTTTTTTTCTCTCCATCTTTATAACTTTTTTTTAAATAAATAATTAACTCACGCTTATAATTTTTTTAATTACAAACTCGGATCTAAAACATTTAACGAAGAATCGTTGGAGTAATGGTAATAATAATAATAATAATAATTTAAGTTAAGAAACATGGAATAAGGCAATCAAGAACGAGAAAACCATGATATTTATAACGAGATAATGGGTTAGTAATGGGATAAAAAAAAGGGTAAAAGGAAAAAAAAGGAAAAAAAGGAAAGAAAAAAGGAAAAAAGGAAAGAAAATAGGAAAAAAAAAGGAAAGAAAAAAGGAAAGAAAAAAAAAAGAAGGGGAATAATAAAATGTCTTGTGTAAAATATGCCTTCCATTATTATTTTTAATTTAATTAAATTGTTAAACGTCAAATAAAAGATTATAAGTACTATCTCTCTCTCTCTCTCTCTTCCTCTCTCTCTCTCTCTTTTATTTATTTATTTTATTTTATTTTATTATTATTATTTTTTTTTTTCAGATTGGTCGTTTCCCAAAACGGCCGAGCTTTGCATATAGTGTTCCCTCATCAGTTCCTCGATTCTCCAGAATGGTTCGGCGTGCCAACAGACGAATTTTTCCAGGTAAAAAAAAAATATATTACGTCACGTTTTTTTTTTTTTTTATTTGTCAATTTCATTTCAAAAAAAAAAAAAAACCATTAGTGGTTGGTGTGCTTTGTCGAAACAAAACAAAACAAAACAAAAAATAAATAAATAAAACGTAACGCATTAAGAAGAAGGAGGAAAAGAAGAAGAAGGATAAAAAAAAGGAGGATATATAAGTAAAAATAAAAGAAAAAAAGTTATCTGAAAAGGGATCAGGTGTGGATGTTTTGAAAAATGAAAAAAGATTTATATCTGATTATTAGTATAAATCTTTTGCGGAGGATTTACACACACACACACACACACAAAAACTAAACCACTTAAGAATAACTATGGACGACCGCATGCTCACAATTTCGTTTTATTTTTTTTTTTTTTTTGTAAAGTTTAAAAAAAAACTTTAAAAGAAAATTCAATAGATTTGAACGTTTTGTCCGTTTGTTTTTCCCTCAGCGGTCGGATTATTATTTTCCACAAAAACGACGACGACGACGTCCGTGTGACGACGAACCTCCTAGAAAAAATTTTTACAAACCGAAAACCCACAATATCCGCAAAAATGTTTATTTTTAAGGAAATAAAATAACTGTCTGAGATTCTCTATCCCTTGTCGTCATTCATTGAAGGGTAGGAGGGGAAGAGAGAGAAAGAAAGAGAGAGAGAGAGAGAGAGAGAGAGGTTAACACCTGATTAAGGATGTAAAACCTCCTTCTTTTTATTTAAAATGGATTTGTTGAATTTGTTAAGGGTTTATGGAACCTCCTCCTATCAGTTTCCTATGAATTTTGTTTTTTTTTTTTTTTTTTTCGTTTCGCACTCGCTCCCTCTTTTTTTCCCTCCCCTCCCTCCCTCCCGCCCGGATTTACATTGGAAAATTTATAATAAGAGGACAAAAAAAAAAATTATTTTCTTTTTTGTTGTTGTTTCTGGATTTTAAAGTTAAAAATGTTTTTTCCTGTCACCATCGTGACACTATCATGTAAATCGTTTCGTTTTTCCAATTTTTCCGGAAGTTAAATTTTTTTTCTCGATTGTTTGTACAAAAAAAAAAAAAGATGGTGGTATAATTTTAAAAGAATTTAACGAAAATGACATCACGGAAATCATGTAGCTTTTCCGTTTTAGAGGGTTGTTGTTGTTGTTGTCGCTGTCGTTGATGAAACAAGTTTAAAAACAAAAAAAAAAAACCTGGTGAAATGAGAACGTGATGAGATTTTCATCATTTTTCATTGAAAATTTGATGAAAATCAAAAAACCCGGGTGACCCGTCTCACCATATTGTTATAAGATTTTTTGCCATCAAAAGGATAAACTTTCCTTATAACTTTTTTTTTTTTTTTTTCTCTCTCTCATAATGTTTTCGATAAAGTTCTTTAACTTACACTTTATACTTTCCCTTCATTTCATTTTTACTAATGATTATATTTTTTTTGTTTCTTCTAAAAACTTTTTTTTTTGTTTCGATTTTGGTCATTCGTATGGATGACACACACACACATGTGCTCTTCCCGTCACATCCGTGGTTATTTGTTTTCTATAAAAGATTTTCTTGATAAAATTTATCCTTCCGACGCTAATGATTTAATAATTTTTTTTTCAGGTGTCAATAACGGCCATGGAAGAATCACGCGTTTTAATTTGGCACCGGGATAAATTAAAATTAAGCATAATAACAGACCAATTTTTACAAGCCGTATTCGATCACATTCTAGGAAGAGACGTTGTTAAAAAATTAATGCAGGTACGTTCAGGTATTTTTACACTTGAGGGTAAATTCCAGAAAGTATTTAACAGGAAGAATGAAAAGGTTGAGGAAAGTCCCGTTCGAACAGGAAAAATATTTTTCCTTTCGGTGTTAAAAAAAAAAAATAGTTTATTCAAGTTTGAACCTTTTCAAAGGAAAAACTATTCGTTGTAAAAAAAAAGTTTTCCTTTGTATTTGTGTGTTGCATTTATATATATTCAAAGGAAAAACATATAATAAATCTTTTGTTTTTTTCTGGCAATGATATATGGGGGTCGAGAGGGTGGATTTTGTAGGTAAATTCTTTAGGTAGTAGGGGAAGTTAATCACTGAATGAATTACTTTTCATTAAAGATTTTCTCTGTTGCACGTTCGAGAGAAAATCTTTTTTTGTTTAAAGAGTGAGAGAGAGAGAGAGAGAGAGAGTGTAAGAAAAAGAAAAAAAGAAAGGGAATGAAAAACGTGGTAGAAGAATATTTTCCGATTGTGAAAACAACGACGATTGTTTTACAGTTTAAAAAAGTTTTTTTTTTTTTTTTAATGACGCCTCGCAACAATAGATTTATATAAAAAAAGGAGAAAAGAAAAAGGAGAAAAGAAAATCTTTGGAAAATCGTTTAATAAAAAATTCTTTTCTTGATAAGAAAGATAACATTTCTTATAAAAATAAATTAAAATTAAATTAGGTAGAATTTTCTTCTCTCGACTTTTACAATCAAACATCAAAGAAAAAAAGGAAAATTTTTTTTTTTTTGTAATAAGTCCTTGATATTATTTTACACTTGGCTTTCTTTTTTTTTTTTTTTTATTTTTCCTTTGTTTTTCCTTTGTTTTCAATTAAAAATTAATTTTTTTTCTTCTTCTTCTTCTTTTTATTCTTTTTCATCCGTAATTTTTATTGTTTTTCCTTTGATTTTTTTCCTTTTTTCGAACGATTAAAATTTATTAAGGAAATTAATTATAATTTTCTCGCGTTTATTTTTTTTCTTAAAAATGAAATCCGCCATATTGGATTTGTATGAAAAGCGGAAATGAAAAAAAAAAAAATTAACGAATCAATATTTGCGTTTCTTAATGAGGGAAATTTTTTTTTTTTTTTTTTTAATGATTAATAATTAAATTATTTATCTCATCGAAATAATAATAATAATAATAAAAGTAAATTAACAAAAGTTTATTTTAATGATTAAAATGAATTAAAAGGGAAAAAAAAATGTTTTTTTTTTTTTTTTTAAAAAGGTAAGCGAAACAATGGCAGCAACAAATAACGGTCATCTTCCAAATATGGAGGACGGAGAAGATAAACCAATGCTAGTCATAAAAAAACCCGGTGACAGTCCTGGAATAACAGCTTTAATTAATAGACAATTTCAAGGTAAGTTTTTTTTATTTTTTTTTTCCTTTTTCTCCTTTTTTCCTTTTTTTCCTTTTTTCCTTTTTTTTTTATTAATAATTTCATTAATTAAAAAAAAAAAACCGCGAGTTTTTTTCATTTCGTTGACCGAGTAAAACATTTGTCTTTCCCCCCGCAACAGCAGAAGCTTTTTTTTTTCTTTAAAAAATGAGAGACAAACCGTTAAAAACAACCCCAACTTTTCTTTTTTTTTAAAAAAAGAAAATCTGGAAAGTGAAAAAAAAAAAAAAAAAAAAAAAAAACATTTATCAAAGTAATCGTTGTTTGTAAGGAGGCGATAATGAGAAAGACGAACATAATAAAAAATTCAAGGCAAGGCTGAAAACCGCCATTTAATTATCAGGTTATCTCTTTAATTAAAAAAATGTAAGGATATAAAATATTCTCTCGAGTCGGGTCACGAGACTCATCCGATCATTTCCAAAAGAAATTAATCTTGAAATTTTTCATTCATTTTCCGAAAAGATTTTCCAACGAAAAAAAAAAAATCTATTATTATTATTTTCCTCCCAATCGTTTTATATCTCGAAAGTCGGTTTTTTCTATTTAATTACTTACGCATGATTTTTCCTTATTTTTTCGGTTTGAAAAACGTGGCAGTAGAATCGTATTTTAATACAATTTTTTTTTCCTTCCCTCGTAAAATCAATACATATATAAATAATTTTTGTAATAAAAACGTTGTTCGCGATGAAAATAATTTTTTTTTTCTGGTTTTACCACAATAAATAAGAAAAACTTATTTATAGTTTGTTAAAAGGTTATTTCGCCGCGTGGGATTGAAATTTTGTTTTTTCCACAAACGTATTTTAAATCCTCAATTAAAACTCGGTCGTACGCAATATTCGATGATTAACGGGAGGGGGCGGTAGGGGAGGGGCAGAATATTTAACGTTGAAAAAACTTCTTCTCCTGTTTTCTTTCAGGTTGAAAAATGCGTTTAAAACCCTCTTGAAAAGATTTTCCCTTCCTCTCTCTCTCTCCTTCTTTCATATTTTTTAATATTTTCTATCTCTTTCTCTCTCTTTGACTCTCTCTCTCTCTCTCTCTCTGTCTCTTTTTTTTCCCTCGTAATAATTTACCCAATAAATCACGGGTCGGACAAAGCAACAATAAAAAAAAAAAAAAAAAAAAAAAAAAAATACGGTCGAACGGGGAAAAATTGTTGGAAATTCGCGGGTTTTCTTTCATAAAACCCGGAAATGATTAATGAAACAATTTTATGATGTAAAATGAAACGATAACTATTATTATTATTATTATTATTATTATTGCGGTCGTTAGAGGAATGAAACGGAGTTATGCTTGTATATATATATATACATGTATGGGTACGTACATGATTTTTCGGGTGGTGTGAGGGGAGAACGAGGGGGCCGAACGAGAGGTCAAAGGGCATCATTTGGATTTTCCCCTTTTTAAACAAAACGAAAACGCGCGCAATTTCTTTTCACGTTTTGAAATTTTGCACTTTAAATAAGGGAAATAACAATTAACCTTTTGAAAAAGGAAAGAGAGAGAGAGAGAGAGAAAAGGTTTCAAAACATGTAAAATTATTTATATTTTAAACGTGAGAGAAAATTCGCGTTTGTTTCCTTTTATTTTTGAATCGGACATCGCAATAACAACAACAACAACAAACAATAGTAACAAACAACGCAATTATAATTTTCTCTCACACTTAAGTAAAAATATTTTCGAGGGATTTTACGTCGGCCATTATTTTCTAATCGTTTTTCTTTTTTTTTCCTTTTTTTTTTTTTTTTTTTTTTATTTATTTTTCTCAGGAATGCCGAGGATGAGTTATTATTATTGCGGTGAGTATTTATCCGACCATTTTTTTAAATATTATTATTATTATTATTATTATTATCATGGTTAGGAAAAAGGGTTGCTTTCCTCAAAAAAAAAAATTTTTAATATTTTTTTTAAAGTTCATGCAAAATAAAAGAAAAAAAATGTCGCAACATCGCAGGAGGAACATTTTCAACGAAAAAAAAAAAAAAATGTCACGCGAAGAAATATAATCATCATCATCATCATTATTATTATTATTATTATTATTATTATTGTTTTCTTTTTTTTAGCATCTGATCCGAACGCCTGGAGATTGGGACGAATCGAAGAAACCGATCACGAGACTCCAGTTTAAAAAAAAAAAAACCCAAAAAGTGCTCCTAACATAATAATAATAATAATAATACATCTTCCTTATTTTTGTACACGTTCACGTAATAATAATAATAATAATAATAATAATAATAATAATAATAATAATAATAATAATAATAATAATAATAATAGTAATAATAATAGTATTTACACACATATATATATATATATATATCGAAAATTATTTTTATTAAAATAAAGAAACTTCCAGAAGAAGCAGAAGAAAAAAACATATTAATTTATTTTTTTTTTAAGTATTATTTCACATAATGTTGAATTTAAATAATTCCAGCACATTAATTCCAGGTTAAAAAGAAAAAGAAAAATGTTTTTTTTCCCGTTAAAACAGTGATTGAATAAGTTTTTTTATCCAGGCGGAAGTACTCACAAGTACTACTGATACCCGTCATACACGAGAAAAATGTCGGAAACGTGTACGAATAATAATCGATTGCAAAATTTTGCTTTTATTTATTAATATAATTAATCATATTAAAAAAAAAAAAGGGCTTAATCGTGTGTGTGTGTGTGTGTGTGTGATAGCATAAAGGACGATCTACGAAGCTTTTTGTCGCAAATTTATGTATAAATCAATCAATCAATCAATCAATCACTGTTGTATCGATTTATATGAGTAAAACCAAATGTTTAGCATATGCTTTAATGTGGGGAAAGAAAAATTTTTTTTTTTAACTACAAACACAAACAACCAAGACTGGTCATCGATTAAATAATCATTTATTATTATCATTATCATTATCATTATTATTATTATTATTATTATCATTATCATTATTATCATTATTATTATTATTATTATTATTATTATTATTATTATCATTATTATTATTATTTCTTTTATGTATATTAAATGAGTTTAAAATTTAAAAAAATGGCCTTCGTTATTAACAAAAAAAAAAAATTAAAAATGGGGGAAAAAAATTAATTAATTAATTAATTATTCCGTGCCTTTAATTAATTGGCATTAATAAATAAATAAATAAAATTTTCCAATCGATTCGTTAGGAAAAAAGGAAAACCGGAAATGAAAAGAAATTTATTATTAATAATAATAATAATAATAAATAATTATTCGCGTTCGTGCGTGCGTGCGATCGTGCGTTTGTGCATTTATTTATTAATTAATTTATTAATTTTTTATTTATTTATTTATTTATTTGTGCAGGTTCACAATCGTTCGATTCATTCCCTTTTATTTATTTTACTTATGTATGAATTAATAAATTAATAAATTATTATTATTATTATTATGGCGAGAGTGTAAAAAAATTTTCCGAATGCCTTTTCCCTTTTTTTTTTTTTTTTTTTTTTTTTTATTACCTCTATTAATAAATTAATAATATTTAATTTCTTTTGTCGGTTTTAATAAGAGTGAAAATGATAATTTATTACCTTGATTAATAAAATAAATAAATAATTAATAATAATAATAATGATGATGATGATGATGATGATGAAAAAATTATCAAAGTTAAAAATTCAATCGGAAAAATTATTAATAATTTTTTATTTACTTATTTTCGTTTTTTTTGTTGTTATTATTATTATTATTATTATTACCATTTATTTACTTGATAAAAATTATTACGGTATTTCGTTTGTATTTTATTATTATTATTATTATTATTATTATTATTAAAATCCATAAATTATTAATAAATTAAGTAATTAATTAATTAATAATGATTTTTTTTTGATGAAAAAAATTTCGTTAATCATTTCTCCTGTCGTAAGCATCGAAATTTGTTGTTTTTTTTTTCGGGGAGGGGGGGTTGGAAGGGAGGGAGGGGGTATTTTTATTTTTTTAATACATTAATAAAAGGAAGGATTAATAAATAAATAAATAAATAAATAGGCGATTTTATTTTTAATAAATTTTTTTATTAATTATTTGATTAATAAGGTTTTTGTCATCGCAAGCGACGGATAAGTTAAACATAAAAAAAAAAAATTCGCAATAAATTATTTAAAAAAATTTTCTTTTTTTGGGGGGTCGCGGGGGGAAATTCTTATGTACACCTTTTCACGAGTACCACCTTCTTCTTCTGATTTTCAAATTTTTCCGAAGAAAACCTGAGACAAACTTTTTTCTTTTTCCATTTGTGTTTTCCATGCAAAATATTCACATTCTCCGACGATATTTTTTTTTTCGAGCATTCCTTCGATTGATCGATTTATCGATCGATCGATCGATCGATATTTTCGATTCGATTCTTTTTTCGTTTATCGAAAATTATTAGCATTATTATTATTATCTCACGGCCATTTTATTAAAGTTCTTTGTTTTTTATTTGCCGTCGATGAAGTTGTTGATTCCGTAGGTGTCGGATCCGCCTGGAAAAACAGGAAAATTTTAAAACGTGTAAAATCTTTTTTTTTCCTTTTTTCGTATGGGTGGATGCTGCTGCTGCTGTTGCTGCCACCCGCATGAGATAAAAATCACCTCTGGACCCCTTTTCAATTTCACTTTGTTCGAAGATTTTTCCATTTTTTCTTCTTCACCTTTGGATTTTCTACGGTCATTAATTACAATTTTATCTAAATCCTTTGATTTTCCAAAGGTTTGACACGATCCTGAAGAGGTTTTGATCTTTTTCGACGTTCCCGTATCTATAGGCGGTGGTTTCAACCGATTTTCCGACGATGTCGAATTCGTATTACGATTTGAATTAATTCCTGTCGTCCTGTTGGAAATTTCGTTACAAAAAAAAAAAAAAAATTTTAATAAAAAAATTTACCAGGGTACAATTTTTTCGTGACTTTTAATAAAATAAATCTTTTTTTGGGGGACCGGGAGGCGGGGGGCGGGAATTTCGAATGTTTCCGATGAAAAAAAAAAAATTTTAAAGGGGTGGAAAGGGGTAGGTAGGGGGAGACCACCATCGTATGAAAAGGATTTTTAATTCAATCGAAAGGAGAAATTTTTTTTAAAAAAAAAAAAACTTTTTTAAAGCTCCCTAAATAAGGCGGAGCTTGTTATTTAACGTTAGCCAATCAGAGTCGACATATTAATCCTCTTACCCCTCTACCACTTGTTTCTCTTTAACGTTGGTACCCTCTAGGCCGGCTTCCACCCTGCGCGCCGTCAACATTTTCCCTCTGCGGTTGGTCCGATATAACCTTTGTGGAAGTGGAAGAATCGTTTGACGAAATAATTTAACCAATTCGTTTTTTCTCATGCAAGATAAATTTTCTAATCTTGTAAATCTCTGTGAAAGGGAACAAAGAGAGAGAGAGAGAGAAAAAAAAAAATTTTATTTTATTTTAAATTTTATTTCATTATTATTATTATTATTATTATTATTACTTTACAATCGCGGCGGTTCAAATGCAAACATATTAATAATAATTTACCTATTGGGAAAATTGTACCTCGAATTTTTTTGTTGGTCTAATAACGGACTCATTGGGGGGGGGGGAGGAAATTACAAAAAAAAAGTTAAAATTGTACCTGAATATTTATTTGAAATAATTATTAACTCGGAGGGTCACGGGGACATTAAGGAATCACACTTTATGAAATGATTTCTCTTTAAAACAACCGACTGTAAATAATAAAAAAAAAATTTATAAAATTTTCCGGATACAATTGTTTTTTTTTTTTTTTTTTATAGATTTATATAAATTAATTGAATCCAGGTATCCCAGGTATTTATGTTAATTTTTAACTTAGTATAAAAGTTAAGGTTTTTCTAAATGATAAATTATTGAAAATTTTTCAAAGTTGATGTAAGTTTTAGTCAAACTTATAAATAAAAAATTCTTGATTTTTTTTTTTTTTTTTTGTTTTCAATAAGAAATTCATTACATCAACTAATATAAATTATCGAATAAAGATTTCTTAACAGCATTCGAAACTGTCTAATTTATTATTTTTAATGATACAAATGGTACTTAATTGTAAATTATACACCAATATATAGTTTTTAACATATGTCTATACAATTATATGAATAATAATGATATTGTACTGGTCATACACACAAGTTTTACTTTTTTATAATCCTAATAAGCATTATTAGACAAGTATTTAAGTAAAATACTAAACGATATTTCTCAAATGTGTTAAAAGTAGTTTTAAGGTTATGTAATAAACTCGATATTTAAGTTTTGAGGTTAAGTATTTTCGCAATACAGTTTAAATATTATTAATTTGCAAATAAATTAATAATACTTTAGTAAAATAATAAATTATAACTTTTTCAATGAAAAAATTTAAAAATATTAAAATTGTTACAGTTATTTTGTCAATTTACATACAGAAATATTGACATCATTCATTTGATTTTATTTTGCACAGTTGCTTTTTATCAATTAAAAATTTTTATAAAATACATTTTAAAAAATAATTTACTTTATTTTATGTAAAACTTCCATCTTTTTAACTCAAGTTAAAAGATAATTTAATGAAATTATCTGATAAAGTTATTAAACATAACCTAATCTGGTTAACAATTATTTTAAAACATTAAAATAAAAAACTTACTGAATTAAGTTTACTTATTAAATCTTCAACCGTTAATAAATCTGGTTGAAGCAAATTTAATACTTGAGATTCATTACTTGTCGTCATTTTTTAAAAAAATATTACGATCTATATTTATATAATTAGAAACTTAGAAAAACATTACAATAACCTTCAGCATAACAGCAGACGACGTTTCAATCATTCAAAAATGTCGTATTTAGCGGGAATTTTTTTTTATTTTCATATAATTTTTTAAAACTTGTTCAATATATTTTACTTTTTTATTATTTTATTTTGTTCGAATCATTAATTTTTTATAATAACGATCAATTTAATTCTTTTATATTTATTTATTTATTTATTTTAATCTTATATTTTTGTAATTTTATTTTTAATATCGTGTAATTTAAGTATGTTCACTACTACCTTGTTAAATTAAAATTTAATTATTTTGTTACAAAATGTTTAGTGTTCGTGCTGTGATAATAGATAGTTATTTGTCTAAATCATTTCCCGAATTATATGAAAAAAATAATTTTGATGGTACAAAGCATTGGCTTGAACCAGTCATAAGAATATTTGGATCAACTCCTGATGGTAATCGTGCTTATTACTTACCTTTCATTTTCATTTTAACTGTCAAGGTTTTACATTTGAAAAGAAAAAATAACAATTTATATTGTATATGTCAATTTTTTTATTCAATAAATTAATTTATTTAGGTGTTAAATCATGTGTTCATGTTCATGGAGTGTATCCATACATTTATGTACCATACATTGGAGGGGAAAATCCTGATCGAGATGCATTATTGCTCTATGCAGCTCTGGATGAAACGTTAAAAATTACTTTTAGCCAATCAAAAACTAAATTTGTATATAAAGTTACTGTAGTATCTGGAATGTAAGTTATGATACATGTTACCACAATTTAATTTTAATTTGAAACGATAAATTTTATTTGCGACTTTTACCCAATCAGACCCAACATACTAACTGTGATTACTTTCCAACATACAGTTTAATACAAACATAATAATAATATTGTTTTATAATGTTGGGAAGAAAAACCTTTTTAATTTTTGAATTGATTATGTTTAAATTTTGAAAATGTGAATCATTCGAAACAATTTTGTTTAAAAAAAAAAAAAAAATTAATTACCATTTTAATATTTCAGTCCGTTTTATGGGTATCATGCTTCACATCATCAGTTTTTTAAAATTTTTTTATATAATCCTTTTTACATTAAAAAAGCTTCTGATTTACTGTTGGTAAGTTTCTATTTTATTTCTTTTTCTTTATTAAAATTAGTTTTAGAAAACCATAATGGAAAGTTTTAATTTTTTTTTTTTTATAATCGAAAAACATTTTAATAATAAAAAGATGAATGAACTGAGCCGAATTATTTTTCTAAATTATCTATTCATTTAATGATACTTTTTAAAAAAACAATTTTTTATAGTAATTACTTGTGGACAACATAACACAAAAAATTCTTTTTACAGAAAGGTGCAATATTAGGGCAAAAATTACAACCTCACGAATCTCACATTCCTTACACTTTGCAATTTATGATGGATTACAATATTTACGGTATGAGTTTTGTTAATTTTTCAAAAGTTAAATACAGAAGAAATCCAGAAAAACCAGGTAACTAACAAACCTGAAAATTTTACTTAAATGGTTAAACACTAAAAGGATTCCCAAAAGTGAGTGGTTCATTTTTTTTTTTTTCAAGATTCTCTTGAGGGTATCGATCAAACTCTTGTTCTTTCTGAAAAAATAACAAAAAATACCTGCAGTTACTTTGAGTTGGATGTTTTTGCAAGTGATATAATAAATGCAAATAATGAAAGGGGACTTCAAACAAATCCAGGTCTTAAAGCAATTTTGGAAAATGAAAAAAATCGCAGGAGAGCACAAAATAAACCCTCACAGTTTACCGTGGAAGAAAGTCTTTCGAGAAAAAACGACGTTGTTTTCCCTACCGAAGCCATGTATAGGGAACGTCTGTCAGGAAAATTAAAGGAAATCAAAGTAAGTCGGTGATGAAAGGGTAAAAACTTGGATGTAATCATTTAAGACAAATTTTTAGAAAAAAAAAAAAAAAATTTTTTATAGAAAATATCATCGGAAGAAAAAACAGAAGAATCGAAATTCTCATATCCGGCTCAGGTGTCGGAGGGTATCAATCTATTGGAAGCATCTGTTTTAAAAGATGAACGAATGGATGAACCTCCTGAGGATTTAAATAATTTGTTGGATTTAAGCGTTCTTATCGATGAGAAAATTGTTTCGCAAATAATTACGGATTCGAAAGAAAAATATGATAAAGAGGAGAATGAGGAGGATATAAATGGGATTGAAGCTGACAGCGTTTTGGGAAAAATACAGATTGAAGGAGAAGAGGAGGAGGAGCCAGAATATGATGATGGTGGGGATATGACGCAGCCGCTGGACCATCAAGAGGATGAAATATGCGGTTCGAAGTTAAGAGAAGAGAAGGAAAAGTAAGTGGGATAACTTATTTTTAAGTTAACGTTTAAAACTCGGAAAAGTTTTACCGCAACTCTTGTGATAATTTTTTTTTTTTTTGTGTAATTTAAAAGAAAAAAAATTTTTTTTTTTTTTTTTTTTAACTTATTTTTTTAAAGTTTGAAAAAAAAAAAAAAAAAAAAACAGACATTTTATTTATTTAATATTTAATTATGATTAGGTTGGATACTTGCGATCGTGAAGAATTTTGGCAAAATATGGCGGACAAAATTCTTCAAATTGATGGCGCACAAGATTCTTCATCTGAATCTGACGTCGAACCGTCTTACAAAACGTCAGCGACAAATTGTTGTAATTTAGAAAAAGAAAATTACACAAATTCCATTCAAAATAATGAACAAAACATGAACAATGAACCTCTGATTAACATCATATCCACGTTAAGTGAAACCACATTACCATCTCAAATAGATTCGACAAGTACGATTGTTCCTCAGTGTTCCGCATTTTGGTCCAACATTTCCCCACGGATAGATTATACTACTTGGTTGCCGCAAAACCAAGAGTCTTGGACTTGGGATAAAAACGAACCTGGAATTTTGGAAAATTGTTTTCCGACGAAAAGTTCAACGATCGGCGTGTGCGATTTTCCGATTGCGGTTTTAAATAAACCCTTCGAGTTGATAAGTACGAGTGAACCGTTAGATAATTTGTTCGTTACGAATCATTTGGAAAATTATAATTCGGTATCAACGAGTCCGTCCAGTAATTTAGAATCAAATTATTCAGATTCATCCGCGACTACTTGTACTCCGTGCGGTGGAATCAATAGTTTTTCCGACATTAACGTCGGAAGCGAATCGACAAATGGAAAAAGCAAATCACTTTCGGATTTCGAAGACGAACAAAATATTTCGAGAAATGAAAATGTTAAAAACGGCAACACCGTTTTCGTCTCGGAAAACAAATTGAAAATCGAAAAACGAATCAAAAACGTCAAGCATAAAAATACGAGAGCCTGTGAAAAAGTTTTGAAAAAGCTCACGTTTGAAGTCAGTCAAGGCAGGCCGATAACTTTGACACTCAAAGAATATTTAAAAGATTTCGGGGATGTCGTAAATGTCGATTTGAAAAATTTTTACGATCAAGAAATGGTCGTCATAGAATACAAACCTCATAATTCGGAAACTAGTCAAAATAAATTTTTAATAAAACCGTTGGATAAATTTTTAGAAAGTTGGAACGTGGCGGAAAAGAAAATTAATGGCGAAATAACGGAGGAAAATGCATCGTCTGCCCAATCAAAAACCAACAAGATAAATTCGAAATGCGAAATGAACAAATCGAATAGTGATAATGATGGTGGTGGTGATAACGATGATAGTGATAAGTGTCACGAAACGTGCGAAACAAAAGCGGAAACGGGAAAAAGTATTTCCGGTGAAAAAGTTTCAAAATCCGTTTCCTTTTTACGACATTCGGAAGTTTCGAAAGGTAAATTTAAAAAAAAAAACGATTCCGTTTCTTCTTCGGCAAGAATAAAAGTCAAAAAATCCGAAATTAGGAAAAACGATTTGATTTCACCGGAAATGAAATCCGACGGACCGGAAAATTCTTTAAATTTAAACAACGTGCAACCGAAACGATGTAAAAATTCGAAAAAAAATAAAATCAACGAGGTTAACAATAAAATATATGAAAAACATTTGAAAACCGTTGTTGAAAATAAAAAAAAAGAGACAAACAATAAAAAAATAAACAAAAGGGAAACGGATTTTTTTCAAAAGAAATTTTTAAAAAAAAAATTAGATTTCGAAAGTTTCAGGTATGATAATTGCGATTCGGAATCTAAAAACAAATTAATAAGTCAAATAAATTCTTGTTTCGAAGATTATTTTCAAAACATCGTCAAAGTTAATAATAATAATAATAATAATAATAATACATGCGGGAAAAATAGGAATAATAATAATAATAATAATAATAATAACATTTTCCGATGCGAAAGAATTTCTGAATCGTCAAGTCGTGATTCGTCATCATCGTCGTCGTCGTCGTCGGATGATTTGGAAACGAATTTTTCTCAAGTGTCAAACAGTTCAGAAGAAGAGGAGGAGGAGGAAGAGGATTCTTCGAATCCACCGAAAGAATCTTTCGATTATTCAAATGCAAAATCCGTTGATTTTGTCGCCAAATTGCTTTCGACGGTAACGAAAATGTCGAAAACTCAAGAAATCCCTCCCGTGTCGATAACTATAAACATTGGGAGCGTCGACACTCATCGTTCGGACTCGTTGCCCGTTAATTTAAACAAAAAAAATTCGAACGAAACGCAGAAAAAGGATCATCAGAAAAACAACAACAACAACAAATTGAACAAACAACGGATTAAAAGAAAGTATAAAATACAAAACGTGGATGGTCCCGCGGATAGTTCTTCGTCATCGGAAGATCCCGAAGAAAATGCTTTCGTACCAAGTTGTAGTAAGAAAGTCAAAAGGGAAAGTTATTACAAAGCTCTCAACGTCATACAGAAATCCGTTTCGAAGGAAAAGAGAAAAGTTGGACGGAAACGGAAATGTTCGAAAGAAGAAAAAAAAATGGAGAAGGATGATGACGAAGAAATTATTATAACGGGTCGTAAAGGTAAGTAAACTTTCTCAATTGCAAAAAATAATAATAATAATGATGATGATGTACATGTGAAAACTAAATAAAAATTTTTATCGTTGGGAATTTTTTTTAACAAGTTTATTGACTAAAAGCAGATTCGTTGGATGTTTGCAGTCAAAATAAGTTAAAAATTGAAAAGGGAATCGGAGTCGAGCCATCATCATCATCATCATCATCATCCTCTTGGAAAAAAATTTATAAAAAATTAAATTTCGACGTTAATTCGACGAAAGTGGGGAGCGATGATTTAATGATATCGAATAAGGAAATTTTAATGGCGGAATCAAAAGTGGCAGAAGAACCGGATATAATTTACGATTCCGATCACGAAATGGTAAAAATTACGTTGAAAAAAAAGAAAAGAAAATCGGTTAGAAATAAATGTCGAAAAAATGATGACGTCGAGAAAATCGAAAATAAATTTAACGATAAATTAATCGATAATTTTTTCGAAAATATTTTCTCGCCGGAAAACAAAGGAAAATCCGAACCTAATAAGGATCTCGAACCTGATGTAAATCGGGTGGTTCTGTCGAAGAATGATGAATCTAAGGTTGAGCTTTCCCAACGTGAAAATTCCAATGAATCTGGGAAAAGTGAAATGGAATCGCTGTCGGGTCAAACGTACCTTGAAATGCCACTTTCAGGTTCTCCACTTTTCGGTCCAAACGTTTGTTCTTCTTCTTCGGCCGAAGAGGTTAAAAATTTAAAATTGGAAAAAGCACGTGAGGAATTATTCACACGTGATATAAATTTACCGTCTACGTCAAAAAATTTTCATTTTCCTCAAGATGAAGGCATAAAATTAAATTTTTCTGAAAGTAGTAATTCTTCGACTCTATCGACGGAAAAAAATTATTTGTATCAACAAAAATTTATGGACGAATGGAATGAAAATTCAAAGGAAAGTTGTTTCGAAGAATTTTTACTTCCCGCACATTCGGAAAAGGTTGAAGAAGATGGTGAACGAGATTCAACACGGATTCCGGTCATTTCGTTAACACGACCCAAAATAATAATGCCTCAAAGGAAACCGCCGTCTCGGACTCAAATCAAATCGTACTTGATCGCGAATGAAAATTTAAAATTTGTAACGGAAGTACCACACTGGAGTGATGCGAGGGATGTGACGAAACCAATGGAATACGGTCCTGTCGTGTTAAAAGTCGAAACAAACGCTCTCGCCGGATTAAAACCACACAAGTCGAGTTTGGACATTGTGGGAACGGAAGAACGAAGAGGGAAATATTTCGGGAAAAAAGAAAATTATCGATCGTTACTTGTTCCCGATAGAGACATCGTTATCACACCTTTGAAAAAACCTCCTTTTTCTTCGGCCATTTTGAAAATTTACAACGCGGAGAGCGTGAAGAAGAAAACGAATAATAAAATGGAGAAACCCGAAACGGGTAAGATAAAAATTTTAATGCCTCTGAGTCCGGGACAAGATTCTCAATCGGAAGAAGAATTGGATGTGACCATAACTCCAAGCACGATAAAAGATTCATCTCAACCTCTTGCATCTCTATCGGGCGAATCATCATCGAGTGCGACCGGAAACGGAAAAAAATCTCTTTCCGGTGATTGTTTTGAAACCGTTCCGGGCGACGTGACAATGAAAGAAAAGGAAAATTCAAATCGGTTAGCACCCGGTTACGATTTGAAAACATCGAATAAGGTACGAGTACCACAGCAGGGACTCGACAACAGTTTTCAAATAAGAGGAATCACATTGGAAAATACATTTGGATTCGATAATTCCGTGGAAAATTTACAAGACGTTAAATTAAATAATACGGTGAGTAATTTTTTTTTTTTTTTTTTTTTAAATAATAATAATAATAATAATAAAGTAAAAATTTGTGTATTTGCAGCATCAATACCTGACGATGTTGTTCGTCGAAGTTCACATTCGAACTCGAAAAAATTTACGACCCGATCCTGATTACGACCCCATCAGAGCATTATTTTACACCGTATCGTTCGACAGTCCGGGAAAAGATGACGAAACGGGAGTGATTGTCGTAAACGACGTGGCATTAGAAAAAAGTGCCGTGGGTGGTGTTGGTCGCAACACGACGCATTACGTACCCACAGAAAAAGATTTATTGTTAAAATTGATCGAATTGGTTAAAATTTGGGATCCGTATATAATAGCCGGATACGAAATAGAAATGAATTCTTGGGGTTACATTTTTCAAAGGGGTTTCATTTGCGAATTAAATTTATTCACGTTATTAAGCCGAGCAGTCACGGAAAATAAGGGTTCGTGGAACGCCGCGGATAAAATTCATGAGAACGAATTTGAAGATTTACCAAAATGCATAAGAGATTTGAAAATATGCGGAAGAATCGTTTTAGATATCTGGAGACTTTTGAGACACGAAGTAAATCCAAATACAAAATTTAAATTTAAAAAAAAAATTTGTTATTAATTTCATTTTGTTAAAATTTTTTCAGGTGACTTTATCTAGTTACACTTTTGAAAATGTCATGTATCATTTGTCGCACGAACGTCATCCTAATTTATCATACGAAAACCTTTCGTACTATTGGGAACATCCCTCGGATAGATTTCGTCATTTAACTTATAATTATTACGTCACGAGAGTCGAAGGAATAAATAAAATATTAAAACAATTGGATTTTGTTAATAGAACGAGTGAATTTGCAAGACTTTTCGGAATACAATTTTACGAAGTTTTATCACGTGGTTCCCAGTTCAGAGTCGAATCCATGATGTTGAGACTCGCGAAACCTTTAAATTATATTCCAGTGTCGCCGAGCGTGAGTCAAAGAGCTTCCATGAGAGCTCCAGCGAGTTTACCACTCATATTAGAACCCGAATCAATTTTTTACACGGATCCTCTCATAGTTTTAGATTTTCAAAGTTTGTATCCGTCCATGATCATTGCTTACAATTATTGTTTTTCAACTTGTTTGGGACGAGTCGAAAAACTTGGAGGGTGAATTTTCTTGATCTTTTCGAATTTTATTTATTTATTTATTTATTTTGGTTATTAAAAAAGGTTTTTTGTTTTCAGAAGAGAACCATTTGAATTTGGTTGCACGCAATTGCAAATCTCACCGGAAGAATTGAAAAGGTTGGAAAACGACATATCCATATCTCCGGCTGGAGTTGCTTTCGTGAAGGGAAGTGTGAGAAAAGGGATTTTGCCAACGATGCTCCAGGAAATTTTAGAAACAAGACTAATTGTAAAAAAATCTATGAAGGAAAATAAAGACAATAGAATATTGCAAAAAGTTTTGCACGCTCAACAATTGGGTCTTAAATTGATAGCAAATGTCACTTATGGATACACGGCAGCAAATTTTTCCGGTCGTATGCCGAGCATCGAGGTATGGTAAATCATTCCAAAATTTTTAGACTCCTGGAAAATTTAATTTTTAATTTTTCTTTCTTTTTTTCTTTTCCAGGTGGGAGACAGCGTGGTGAGCAAAGGACGAGAAACCCTTCACAGAGCCATTCAAATGGTTAAAAATAATAAAAAATGGAATGCGAAAGTCGTGTACGGTGATACGGACTCCATATTTGTATTAACACCCGGAAGGAGTCGAGAAGAAGCTTTTAAAATCGGTGCGGAAATAGCCGAAGCCGTGACACGAGACAATCCGAAACCGGTTAAATTAAAATTGGAAAAAATATATCAACCGAGTATTTTACAGGTAGCAAAAAAAAAAAAAAAAAAAAATTGTTTTACAATCGTTGTATTGTAATTTATTAAAAAAAAAAAAAATAATAATAATGATATTTACAGACTAAGAAAAGATACGTTGGATACATGTACGAGAGTCCCGATCAGGAAAAACCAATTTTCGAAGCCAAAGGAATCGAAACGGTTAGAAGAGACGGTTGTCCGGCTGTTGGAAAAATTCTTAGAAAAGCACTACAAATTCTTTTCGATACTCGTGACGTCAGTCTGGTGAAAAAATATACCATCAGACAATTTTCGAAATTGTTTCAAGGACGAACAAACGTTCAGGATTTGATTTTTGCCAAAGAATATCGAGGAAGGCACGGGTATCGACCCGGAGCTTGCGTACCTGCTTTACAACTCGCTAAGTAAGTCGTAATAAATCGTTTAGTTTTATTATTATTATTATTATTATTTAAGTTTATTCACGCTTCTTACTTTTTTTTTTTTTTTTCCAGGCAATGGACTCGTTTGGACAAAAGAGCCGAACCCCGAGTCAAAGAAAGAGTTCCTTACGTCATAGTTAACGGACCACCGGGAGTCCCGCTGATAAAATTAGTTCGCTCTCCCAAAGAATTGATATCCGATCCCAGTTTACGGTTGAATGCCGTTTATTACATAACCAAAGCCATAATACCGCCATTGCACAGGTGTCTGTCCCTGACGGGAGTCGACGTTGCCACGTGGTATGCGGAAATGCCTAAAAAAAAAATAATGAAAGAAATCAAATCGAACGTTTTCGAAGATGGCGTAATCGAAAATAGGAGGACAATATCCCAATATTTCCCCGCGATTGAATGCATTCTTTGCAAGGAAATAACGAACGCACCCGTTTGTCAAAAATGTCAAAATGATTGTCAAAAGACAACCGTTGGAATAATAAAAAAAATCCGTAGTTGGGAAAAATCATACGGTGATATTGTTAAGGTATTGTTTGTTTGTTTGTTTGTTTGTTTGTTTTATTGTTTTTCTTTTGAATGAATTCCCGCTCTGATGCAATAAATAATTTGCAAGATGAACAAAGATTAAATGAATTATTATTATTATTATTTCATGTTATTGCATATATTAGAGACTTTTATCACGTGACTTACTTTCTTAATTATCCCAAATTGCAATGCCCCTTTTAATTTTTTTTAATTTTAAAATTTTAAATTAGAAAACAAACAAACAATAAAAAGTTTATTTCACTTTAATCGGTTTATAGATTAAATTTAAAATTTGTTTGTTCGTTTGTTTGTTTGTTTGTTTGTTTGTTTGTTTACTCGTTTTTTATACGTATTTGATAAAAAAAATTTTTCAGGTATGTCAATCATGTTGCAGTAACGTAACCGAATTTAATTGTCAATCATTGGATTGTCCCATTTTATACCGAAGAATACAAACATTCAGAGATTTATCATTGGGAGCTCCGTATTTATACGACATTTTAAAAAATTTTTAATTTTTGAAATTTTTTTTTCAAATCAAATCACAAAGATTCATTCGATAATCGAGGGGGGGGGGGGGGGAAATAAATGTTGAATTATACTTTGAAAACAAAAATAAATAAATAAATAAATAAAAATAATAAATTATTTATATTATTACATACCATTTTTTTTTTTGTTGAAAATTATTACGTAGGTTAAATATTGAAAAAAAAAAAATTTTTTTTTATTCACGTCATGAATAGTAAAACAAAAAAATAAAACCTAATTATAAAACAAAAGAATTACGAATTCGTCAAACCCAAAATATGAATAATGTAAAACAAAAGTGTCTCTCATCATTGAATTAAAATTTTAAATAAATTTTTTTGAAAACAAAATAATGAGGAAGAGGTTAAATATAATTGAGAACGATTTTAATGAAAAATTTTTTTTTTTAAATAAAGACATACGTGATAAATGACTAACGTTAAAATGTCACGTCAAATTTAATTTTTTACTTTTTCCCATTTAAAATTTAAAATTTTAAATTTTTTTCCACACCAAAACCGTTCATTCGTACATAAAAAATATAAATTATTTAGAAAAAAAAAACTCAAATTTCTCCAAATTAATTTTAAAAAATAACGGTTAAAAAATATTTGAAAAAAGAAAAATGTCGTCGTCGTCGTCGTCGTTGTTGTTGTTGTTGTGACGTCATATTCGGGGAAAAAATTTAAGTTGTCAGACTGTAACCAATATGGCCGTTATTATTTACTTTTTAAAATAAGTTAAGCTTGTTAAAAGAAAAAAAAAAGAAGAAAAAAAATGATGTTTTTTTATTTATTTATTTAAATATATATTTAATTTAAAGTTGTAAAAAAAAAAAAAAAAGAAAAATATATCAATTAAAATGGAAGAAGTTGAATTGATGAAAAATTTATGCGTAGGTATTCAACCGCGAGAAGATGATAATGAATTTAGAAAGATTGAAAAAGTTCTCGCGCCATTTATGCAAACGTTTAAAAAACGTAAACGAGCCAAAACGGACATAATACCGGATGAGCATAAAGATTTATATTTGAAAAGAAATCCGAAAGAATTAATTGAACATTTAAACGATTTATATACGGAAAAAAGTTTAGTCGGATCACTTTTAAACGAAACCGGAGAACTATTAAAATCAGTTACAAATTCAAAATGTTTTAATCTTTACACGACAGATTATGAAAGAGGAGAAATTACTGTAGTTAGCGAATCTAATCTTAGTAATCCTCGTTTCCAGTACAAATTGCCTATAGGTAGTTAACAAGTTATTATTTTTTTTATTTATTTAATTCGCATGTTATTAAATTTGTTTTTATATGTTGAGTTAACATTATTATTCACATTAAATGTCAAAAATAATTATTTTATAACTTTAGTCACTTTTTAATGATGAAACAATTGTTATTTCTGTAGAATAAAGTCCTTATTTAAATTATTGTAATTATTATTATTATTATTGCAGTATGAAGTTTACATTTTACTCCATAGAAAAAAATTAACGGTCATCAATGAATTGTTAATTGTTAATTTTTTTTTTTTTTGTAAATTTAGAAACGGGTACTTATTTGGCATGTTACGTTGCAAGTAAAAAAGAATATGTTATGGCCACGGATATTTTGGGAGACGTGAGATTTCCCTTGGGAATTCCAAATGCCGGATTTACAGTTAAAGCAGCCATTTGTCTTCCAATTATATTAAATACTGATAATGAATGCATCGGAATAATAGAATTATTTAGAGATCATTCAAAACCACCCTACACGTTGGTAAACATATTTTTTTTTCTTTTCTTCTCCTTTTCAAAATATTAATAATATTATCGTAATAATAATAATAATAATAATAATATAATTTAGGTTAATTTAGAAATTTGTAATGCGTTAACGGCATGGCTTGGAATAGCATTGGAACAAAATAACACAAATATACTTTTATATAAAGAATTAGGTATACAAAAAAGTATATCAGAATTGGCGAGTATGTATTTTTCAAACGTTTTGCCATTTGATAAAGTTATATCTGATTTATTGGTATATACATATATATATATAAATAAAATTATTTAATCATTTAAATCGATAAATATTTTTAATAATTTAAAATTTAAAATTCGAAATTTTTTTTTTTTTTTTTTTAGGATATATTAAAAATATCAGTTGAAGCTGAAAAAGGAGGTTTTTTTATTTTTTACGGTACAATAACTCAAGGTTATGAAGAAATTATATATGCTGATTCTTACGACGAAGGTTTCATAGATTCGGAAAATACTTTTTTATTAAAAAAAAAAACTAAAATGAAGTTTGTAATCTTTTAAGCTTCGAAAAAACATTTAAATAATTTTTTAAAAAAAATTTATCATTTCGTTACACTCTCTCTCTCTCTCTCTCTTATATTTAATTTCTAAATATTTACTTAGTTTGTGTTTCATTTATAAAGATTTGCGCCCAATGCTCCCGGTATTCCAGGTTATGCAGCTCGTACTGGAGATGTTATTAATATTCGGGATGCATATAAAGATTCCAGATTTAATAGAGGTACGGATTCTCCTCTTTATCGTACGAAATCTGTTTTATGCGTACCAGTAAAAAGTCCCAGGGGTGTAATAGGTGAATTTTATGTCAAAAAATTATTTTTATTAATAATGATAATAAATGAATCGTTTTAATTTATCATTAAATTTTTTTTTTTTTTTTTTTCGATAGCCGTTATAAAATTAATAAATAAGCAAAATTATCCATACTTTAGAAAAGAAGATATTGATTTATTACAAAAAGTATTACCATCTGTTGCACTTATTTGTCAATATTACGATTTGGACACATCGTATACGAGAGAAGTAAAAATTAAATTATAATATATTTAATTAATTAATTAATTTAAATTACGATCCGGATTGTAAATATTTTAATTTTCCTCATTTCAGCAATTGAAACGTTTAGAAATAGAAAAATTATTAGATATACAATCGAAAACATCAATTGACGATGTTTTAACTGTGAAAGCTTATATATTATCAGAATTACAATTGCCCATTGGATTCAACAGGTTTATTTTACACATTTTCTATTTAATTAATATTATTTAATTCAAATTAAAATTTTTAAAATTTTTAATACAGGTTCGATTGGGATACAAGCGGATACGAAGAAGATGCACATAAATATATTGTATTGGCTTTATGGTCGTCGGAAATATTTGAAAGCGTTTTCGATATTCAAAATTTAATCGATTTTATGATAAGAGTTAAAAAGGGATACCATCAAATTGCTTTTCATAATTTCGAACACGTTTTTAACGTTTTTCATTGTGCATTTGTTGCCCTTCATAAAAACAAAGATGTTTTTAATATAATAGAAGTATTTATAAAATAAAATTTTTAAAAAGTAATTTATTTATACGTTTGCTCTCGTATTGATGGCAATATAAAAAATATTTTTCAGATGGTTGCCATTATTTTGACATCCGTATGTCACGACATTGATCATTCAGGTTTAACGAATAATTTTTTATATTTAACAAACGATCTTCTTACTCAATTATACGATGATTGTCCCGGTGAAATGCACAGATACGAATTTACATTATTTTTACTACAAGTATTAATTTATACTTATTTAGTTGCTTAAAAAAAAAAAATTATTTTTTAATTACTTTAAAAAATTTTTTTTTTTATTACAGGCATCGAACGTGCTCGTGAAATTCAGTTCGGAAAATTATCAATTAATAACAACGTTATTGAAAAAACAATTTGCCGGATTTGATATGGCAATTTTTTTAAACAACAGAAAAAAATTAATCGAATTATATAATTCGGATTTATTCGATTGGGAAAATGTCGAACATAGATATCTAATACAAAATATGTTATTGATATGTGCCGACAGTTGTCCTTGTTTTAAAAATTTTGAAATTGCTAAAAAACATTCTACTAATTATTACAAAGAATTACATCATCAGGTACAAATTGACAATTTATTAGAAAATATGGCTTTTGTTATTATTTTTTTTTTAATACAAACAAACAAACAAATGAAATCATTTAAATATTGTAATTAATGAAAAGAAAGAAATGACATTGAATGACTACCGAATGTTTTTTTATCAATAAATTTTTTTATTTTGAAATAGAAAATTTTTTTTTTCTAAGGGCGATTTAGAAAAAGTTTTAGAATTCGATCCTCTACCTTTATTGGATAGAAGTAAAAGCGAGGCGATTCCCGAACATCAAATTGTACATATGACGGTTATTGTTATACCTACTGTCGAGCTAATAGTACGAACTCTACCTAATTTGGAAATTTTAAATATTTCCGTCAAGTATGAATAAAATTTTAAAAAAAAAACAGAAAAGAAAAATTTTAAATTATATAAAAAATATATAACGAATGATTTTTCTCGTTTTTTAGTGAAACTTTAGAAAAATGGGAAGAAATAGTTACGATGAGAGGTCAAGAAATGTGGAAAATGAATGTGGCTTTGGTTAAAGAGAAAAAAGATAAAAAAGGACATAAATTATCAACAAGTAGATCATCATTAATAAGAACAATCATGGCAGAAAAATATACATAAATTAATAAATTTTTAATAAATTTTTTTTAAAAAAAAAACTTGTGAACCTTGAAATAAAAAAAAATTTTTTACTATTAATTTTTATATCGAAAAATTTTCTTTTCATTTATTTATTTATTTATATCAGGTATGGAAATTTGTACTTTTTTTTTTATTTAAGTTTAAATGTTTTATTTATTAAAATTATTTATTGTTAAACAAACGTTAAGGTATTATTCATAACAAAAAAAAAACAATCGCATTATATTCAAATTATAAAAAATTAAGGTTTTTCATAATGTCATAAATAATTATTTAAATTTAAATTACTTCGTCATTATAATAATAATAATAATAATAATAATAATAATTATTATTATTATTATTAAGAACAATTCGATATCGGTTTAATAAAAAAAAAAAAAAATGTTTAATCAGTGATTATCACGGTTTGTTTTTTTTTTTTTTTTTTTTTAAATGAAAATTTAAATTTTGCGCCAAAAAAAAAAAAAAACAATTTAACCGACAAATAAAAATGGCGGCATTTTTATAAAGGCGGGTTAATAACAAATTTGTTAAAACGTACTAAATTTTTTTATTATTATTTTAAAATAAAATTTTATCATTATTTTCTCTCTCTCTCTTATCATTTTCTCTTAACATTGATTAAATTAAATTAATTAACCTTTTTTTTTTTAATAAAAATTGTACAAAAACAATTATTATTAATTAATTAATTAATTATTATAGAAGCTTCCCCATGTTGTTTTGTAATGATTAAACGTTTTTTTTTTAATTATTTAAATTTTAAATCGTTTGTTTGTTTGTTTGTTTTTTGCTCAAGTATTATTATTATTAAACTTTTTAGGCTTTAGTACAAACTTCAAAAGCTTTACAGTCGTATCAAAAGGTTTTTTTTATTATGTTGTAAATGATAAAAAAGATAATTACAAAAGAAAAAAAAAAAAAAAAAATGTAAAATTTTTTTCACACTTTATTTGCTAAATTTTTACATGTCACGATCTTAACTTATTAATAATCAAGTAAAAAGCACTACAAACGCGGTTTTCTTTTTTCTTTTTATTTATTTATATATATATATATATATAAATGTATGTAATATTTATTTCATTTGTCATTTTTTTTTTTTTTAGTTACATTTATAAATAATAACTTACTATCAACTTTATTATTATTATTATTATTATTATTAAGGATTAAAAAGGGAAAAAATTAAATTTTTTTTTAAATTTAGTTTTTTAAATGTAACACCTGTACAATTGTTATACGCATGCGCGACCGAAATAGATAGATCACGAGTATTTTTTAAATAATAATAATAAAAAAAAAAAAAAAGAAAAAAAGAAAAAAAAATTTTTTATTTTAATAATAAAAAGGTTTGTACCTTGATCAAAAGAAGATTGGTAAGTTTATTAACAATACAATTTTTTCGTTTTTTCGCTATTTGTTTATTATTATTATTATTATTATTTAATTATTATAAAAAACGATTTAAAATTATTATTGTGTGTTATAAAAAAAAAAAAAAAGTTTGTTTTTCTTTTGTTTCTTTTTTTTTTCTTTTGTTTTTTTTTTTTAAGTGTTAATTTTTCTTCGTGTTGTATATTAGATGAACGAAATGACGGGAAATTTACGAACCGCCATTTTCCTGTTATCAATATTATCATTTTTTGTACCATCGGCAACCGGTTTTAAATTAAGAATTCTTCATACGAATGATATGCATTCAAGATTCGAACAGGTTTGGAATAACAATTTAAGAAATTTTTTTTTTTTTTTTTTTTAATCGCTTAATCATTTGTGAATAATGGTTTTAAAATTTTTTTTTTTCAGATTTCTAAAAATTTAGGAAAATGTACAGAATCTGCATCGGAAAATAATTTATGCTACGGTGGATTTGCCAGATTGAAAACGGCCATCGATGATGAATTTAAAAAAGCTAAAGAAGAGAATATAACGACGTTATTTCTCAACGCCGGTGATAATTATCAAGGTACCATTTATTACACGGTTTACAAATGGAAAATTGTCGATACCTTTTTAAAAA